AGCTGGCCCCTCAGGATGTGGACTTCCTGTGGGCACAGAAGGACCAACACTCTGAGTGAGGAAAAGGCTTTGGACAGAGCAGATGGCACCTGAACCCCTTCTCTGACGAGCAGCATGAGGGGTGAGCCCACTTGTGCACGATGTGAAAGATCTTGTCCAGGATCCACTGGGAAGAGCCCAGTGGGTCGCCTTCTTAAATTCACAAGGCAAACCTTTAGAGACAAAGAACCCCTCCGCCGGCCCCACCACCTCTGCTATGTCCTACAGAGTCAGCCTGACTCCCACACCCAGATCAACCCCTCATCCTGATGCCAACTGAGCCTGGCTTCTAATCCTACAGCCACAGGGTGGGCGGTGCTCCCTTCTCTGCTCAATGCCCTCTCCCATGGGTCTGCAGCCCCAAGCCCAGACCTGCTCGTGGTTGCTCTTGAGGCAGAGCATCTCCTCCTTCAGGGACTCCTGCTGGGCCTCCAGGTCGGCCTTGGCCAGGCTCAGGTCATCCAGGAGCTTGTGCATCCCACACATGTCCGCCTCCACCACCTGGCGTAGGGACAGCTCACTCTCGTGCCTTCCAGGACAGGAGATGAAAGGTCAGCAGGATGACAAGGACAGCCCCTTTCAGCTGCCCCCAGTATCCATTTCCTTCACCAATTAGGATCCTCATTTGCTCACTGTGCTCAGCACTGGCTTCAGAGATTAATTAGACTCAACCCCTCTACTCAATCAGCTCATGGTCTAGCAAGGTATTCATAGTAGGTATCATTTTTACCATTGGGCATTGAAGAAACTTTGGTTCCAAAAGATGAATTAGCTTGCATGAGATCATGTATTTCAGGATCCAGTACAGGACTCACACCGCTAGGTTAAGCAACATCCAGGTACCTGGTCAATGATTTGCTCCCTTATTCCTTGTGTTGGGCTACTTGTCTATCTCTGACCTTTGTCTGGTAGAAATGCCTGGTATTTGAGGTCCCCATAGATAAATTTGGACCCTGACCTATCTGTAAATGGTTCCTCTAACTTACATGTGAAATTCAGTGACTGTCCTTGCTCAGTTTATTCTTGAAATCACCTTATTCTGCTCCTGATGAGTGAGCTCAAGCAGCCTTACCTTCCATTTTAGAGAAGTAAATGAAGGAGGCATAACTCTAGGCTACACCATACATACTGAATTTGATGTGTTTTTTTTTTCCTCAGCCACTTTCTATTAGTTTTGTTTGTAATAAAAATCTTTATTTGGAGAATTTAGGAAAGAAGAAACAGGACAGTAACTCAGTCAATTAAGTAGTTGGCCATTGTGACTTAGGGTAGAGGAAGGAGTCACTCTGAGACCTCTTCCAGCCCTACTTACTTGATTCTAAAGTCATCAGCAGCCAGCTTGGCATTGTCAACTTGAATAATGAGCCTGGTATTCTCAGCCTTGCTGCACAGGATCTGTGGAAAACCAGGAAGACAGTTCATGCACAAAACATCATACTCTGGGCTCCAGCTCTATGGGTGACATCTACACTCATGCTCAGGAGAACCCAAGAGCACAAAGACCCTTGAGTCTTCAATGGCCCTTTGACTGCCATGCCCTTCCACCTTCCTCAGACACAGCATACCCCAGGCTACTTCAGACCTCACCTTCTGCTGGAGCTCCTCGATGGTCCGGAAGTACGACTGGTAGTCTGGACACACGCTGGACTCGTGGCATTTGCTCGACTCTCGGATCTTGGTCTCCAGCTCCGCGTTCTCCCGCTCCAGCTGACGCACCTTCTCCAGGTAGTTGGCCAGGCGGTCGTTCAGGAACTGCATGGTCACCTTCTCGTGCCCATTCGGGGCGCCTTCGCCATAGTTCCCACACACTCCGATGTTGCCGGGAATGTCGCGGGTCCCTGGCAAGGGGCAAGCGGTTTGGCAGCTATAGGGTACACAGAGGCTGGGTCGGCCCAGAGGCGTGGTCCCCACACGCACCCGGTTGGCATGTGCCAGGGTGGCGGACAGGCACAGGGAGGCAGCCTTGGCCTCTGCCCCAGGCTGGCCCCCAACGTCAATGCAGGAACC